ACTGTCTGCGCTTGCATGCTCTTTCATAAAGTTAAAAATTCATTTTGAAAAAATTGAAAAAAAAAGAACTATAATCGTTTATTAACTTTGTTCAGTTTTTGTACACAAGAGTTCACCCGTTGAGCGCTAGCTGTAGTATCTTTGAAACCGTGTTAGCCTGTCCGCGTTTGCTATCATTGACCTGTCCAAAACAGCCAACCCATGTATGAAGCAGGATGCATATTACTAAGTCATTTTCCGTGGCTACCGATGGTGGATTTATCGAGTGGTGTGTGGGACACGTTGGGAAGTCACCAGTTATCGAGGGGTGCTAAGGCCAAGAGCTTCAACCCTAACGCCTGCGATCTTCCAGGTCCGGTTCCTTAGGTGAGGAGCAAAGTCTTGGGAAGGCCAGAGTAGAAGGTAGAATATATCCTTTACAGCATTAATTGAAGAAGAGGCAGCAGGGAAATGGCTAGCAGACGACCGCACAACCGCAAGCCAGCGGGCGCCGTCTGAAGTGAGGTATGCTCGGCAGTCCTCACATGAAATCATGTGTGAGTCGGTCTGTGGTTGGCTGTTACAGAGACCAGAAACAGCGAGCACTTCGACATGAGCTAGTCACGACAGGCATTCACAAGTGCACTTCGTGTTGGGCCAGTCACTACAGATTTGCTATAGAAGCCTCAGTTTACTCCTTACACAAGGCCCTGTAATCAGAGTTTGTCTGGTCATCGCTTTCTCCGGGGTGTTCCAAAAACCCACAGTAAAGAAGGATTCGTGGCGTTTGGAAATGCTGCCTGTTTGCATGTTGCGTAGCTGGATTGAAGTACGACAGATGCAGGTTTGGAAACGGTTTCCTGTATTTGTCATGGTTCTGGCATCTATGGCCGTTCTAGGGGAAACTTTAAAGATTTTGCTTTCTATAAGCGCACGACACTGACCAAATGTTTACGTTGTCTGCGTTCTGTTTTGCAGGCCGTTTATGGTCGATACTCACGCGTCTTCGTCCAGCTGCGACGATGATCGCGTGTAACGTAACAACGTACGTCTTTGGAATGGTCAACATGCTGATAAGCGAGCCACCTGTTTCCGAACAATGACCTTCCTTATTTCGTTTTTTTGCCACACATGAAGCCATATGATTTTTTAAACTGCAGTTTTTATTAATTACAAACTTTTTTTCTGACCTTGTTTTGGACAACGTCGCATTTTTGAGTGGGAAATGTTTTTAAAGTTGCCATTTCTATAGAAGAATGAGTAAGTAGAATGTTCTGTCAAAATTATCTGATAAGTATATCTTAAAAACACATGGTGAGACAATAATTGAGTGGAGCCCTCGTCCTTCTGTGTGGGATCCATGAATGGCGTCGTCACTTATGTTAAACGTCGACAGGACATGTACAGTCAATTTTGTGTGAACCAAAATTTTAAATTATGCTTTATTTGGAATTGTAATGTTTACTATCTTGGAGGTGTTCCTCTATACTTTTAGCTAAGCACCGACTCGTGCGACCAATATAACCTGCTCCACAGGAGCAAGTAAACCAGTAGATACGCATTAAGGAAGTGTGCGCTGGTAACCTATGTAGTTTGCATTTTTGTCTATAGCTTATAGATGGCCCAACAAATTTAAATATATTTCACAGAAAACTAAACCACACCTATGCTTTATTATACTCATTGGATAGCCGATCACTGTTGGAATACTTCCTTCGAAAAATTGTATACCTTATAGTTTTAAAGAAGTTTATTACTGTGAAATGGCACTCATGGAGTAGTTGATTGTCGTCCAAAACCATTGCAAAATTGAATGAGTACTATAGGTTATTTCCTAAACGACATGCAGTAGTGTAGGATATTTCTTCCAGGGGTGGTAGACTGAAAACCCTAAAAGCAGCGGCAACGGCAGTTCAAGTTTCATATTATTTGAAAATTGAAATTTTAAAAGCATAAATATACCTTTCTTTTGAATAGACAATTGTTTTTTCTCAAAATAATTAATAGTAACTTATATGACCGCCAAGAC